CTGGCCTCGGCCTCTCCCCCGCGCTGGGGGAGGAGTTTTCCCCAAAAGCCGAATTTCCTCAACTACGTTTTCCCTGAGAGAACAGAGGGACGTGTTCTCAGCTGCTAAAATCCTTCCCGTGTTGACCATCCCTGGCCCAGAGAATTGCCTTTGTGTGGTCAGCAGGCCGCCCCTGCGCAGCGCAGGCAGAAATTGCAGCAGGCCGAGGCCCAGCCACAGCCCGGGAAGGGACACGGCGCCCCCATGCCCTCACCCCAAATCTAGGTTGTTTTCCATGGGCTCGCAAACAGCTTAAATCGTGGTTCAACAATTTTTCAGCAGTACATCCCATTTTTCACTACCAGAAATGCTTGTGGAAGGTGCTGCATTCCAAGATTTTTCATGTATGCATTTCTATTTCAGAAATGATCCAGGAGGATTTTTTTTTTTTGTTGGTCCATCAGCATTCTGTGGGAACAGATTTAAAGGAAGTATCTTCATCTGTAATGGAAATCCCCAGCTCCTCCCACACGTTTTCCAAGCAGACCCACCACTGCCCTAGTCGGTCAGCTGCTCACTCTCACAAACCCCACAGCAAATGGCAAAATTTGCCATAAGCTGAAAAATTACAAATGCACTTTCCATATAAAGACTAAAATATAAATCCCAGTGCTATCTCAAAGCTGGATATCACCCAAAAGTCAGGAGTCTGTATTTCTTGGCTTTAAATATCACTGAGAAGTATAAATGGATCCTTTTAGTTAATAGTAATTATTATTCAGTCTGTCATTAACAGCAACTGCACGCACTTTGATGGATGGGTTGAGAAGAAGCTTTGTTTCATTTTATTGCTGATTCTGTGACTAGTTGCCAAACTTTTCTTATTACTGATAATTAGATCCTGTTAGCCTAGCATCTGCTTTTTCTCCGGCAGCAAACGCAGAGGATTCTTTGTGCATGAGGGGTCTGCACCCAGGACAGGAAGGGTGGCTGAGCAGACTTGCCACAAATCTGAGCGAGCAGGCACTGCTGCCTGCATGAGGGCAGAAAGAATAAAAAAAAAAAAAAAAAAAAGTTCTTCACCTCCCTGGATTGAGCTGATTTTAATCAGGTGGCACTTGCAGAACATTAAACTGCTCATCATCTTTCCAGCATATATAATAATGTATACACAATAAAATGATTGGCAAATTGCAACATTTAGGTTCCCTGCTGGTGAACGTGGAATGTCTCGGGTTTTGGTTTTGCACTTAGGACACCTTCATCAGGGTATGGTTAAAAGAGCTGGAGCACAGACAGCTCATTGCAGAAGCCTGTCTTGGACTTCCTATCAGTTAATTCATTTTTTTTTTTTTAAATAAAGACTGTGCTGATCTCACATCATAAGAAATATTTAGAAAATATATATTACACATAGGGATTATAAGCAATTTGGAGATGTATTTCATATGTAAAAATGATAAAATCTCTAGAAAATTTAAAACATTAATTTTACAAAACACCAGCTTTGCAATTCCTTTGTTCTGAAAGACAATAGTAAACAATGTTCCAGTGACCTCCAGTGGGGACCAGGGAAAGTACATCCTTCCTCAGCTCTGTCTTAGCAGAAATCTTTTTTCCTCCCACAAAGCCTGTAGCATTTGGACTGACTCTCTTCAGTGGGGATGGGTGATCTGTGCCAAAGTTATTGGACATGTGTGGTCTGCAGAGCAAAGATCATCTCCATCAGCAGCTGACATTTTAAGGCTATCCTGTGGTGTGTTCTATCCTGTACAAAGCAGCCTGATCCCAAATAAAACATAAAAGCTTCAAGGTGGCTCACCCTTTCTTCTGTCAACACAAGTCAAGGTCTCTTACATTAGCCTCATTATTTGCTTATCCTACTACTGACTTCGGGAGGCAGGCATCAATAGAAATGCCTCTGGTCTAAGAGGAATCCTCCCCCTCTCTTCCCTTTGTGGGAAAGGAAAGGCCTAGGAGGAAAGGGAAGAAGGTAACTTAAAGCAGAGTAGTTCTTATCACCATCTGGGTCTAATGAACATGAAAGGAACTCCGCTGATACATTAATACAGCCAATATCACAGGTTGCAACAGACAGCAGGAAGAATGCGTCAGTCATCAGAAAAGCCTCTGCTAAACTCAGAGCAATGACCTTGAAATTAAGAAGGAGCAGTAGTAGTAGGGGAGAGCCTGTGTCACATAAAACTTTCTGACCCTAACTCTGGAGCAGTTTGTTGTTTAGAAAGTCAAAAGGACTAAACAGTATTTTTTTTCTCCTGATCTCATTTTTCCTTACTCATCACCTGGGCCTAAGCCCTGCAGTAAGGTTTATCTACAAGTGGATGGCCTGGGCCACTGCTCCTTTTAATGCCCCTGTAGAAAAGTACCACAACTTCTTGATCTAGGAGAGAACTCCTACAGTTTATCACTGGCTGTGCTACCTCTGATTGACCCTTGTAATCACATAGTGATGCCAGGACCCACAGTGTGCTGTTTTCAGAGACATCACCTCACACCATTCCTCTCTGATAATGCAAGAAAAACAATTGTGCATTTTGCCCATTTCTTTTTTATAATGCAACAACTAAAATTTCCATAAGGAATCATTTAGTGTCTCCAAAACATCATTCCTCATTGAAGTGAAACTTCACAAAAGGGCAATTCTTCATCATGGGGTGGGGGGGGAGTACCAACACTAGCAGAGAGTCTCTATTCGCTACTGTCTGCACAATATTAATGTAGAAGATAATATATTGGCTTGAATCAATATTTCTATGACTTCTCCATCCATCAGCCCCCCTTCATTTGATAAAAGTCCTTCCATGTCACATTCTCTCAGACTGATGAGATCACAGTGCCTCTTTCTAGCATGACTGATGGTGTGTAGATGTGTAATTGCCCAATAAATCACCACCTCTGGATCAAAGATCTGAGATCCTCCGCACGCCAAGGAGGCACACGAAACATTATAACATACAATAAGTTAATTACAGTAAGATTTTAGTACTTTTCGACATGCTGGGTGTTATTCAACATATACAGACATCTTGAAAGACTCAGCCACAACGACATTACTGCAAGAATCAGGACCTGAAACCATGGACATTTTGGGCACGGACTGACCATTCATGGAAGCAATGTAGGCCAAGGACTCAAATGCTGTACTGCAACACAGAAACCCAAGAGCTATAAATGAGACAAATATCACTGTTATTCTATGCCTGCACAGTGCCTGCTTTAAGGACTTCAAGCAAGGCTTGTGGCTGTTACAGAGATCTATCTGCGTCTCAGGAATTTCATCACATGAACCACAAGAACAAATTGGGCAAAGCCAGGGAGAACAGGTCTGCAAAAGGTACATCTTGTCCAGTGTATGATTTCCAGTAACGGGCACTAGAACATGCAGTGGGCTAATGCTGCAGACGCCCTCTCCCTGGCATAATCCCTGCATGCAGCCCTGGGGTTCCCAAGGCACCACCTCCTCTCCACCCCTCTCACCTGTGCTACTCAGCATGCCAGTGCTATGGAAACACACATTCCAGTTTGTCCCAAAGTGATGGAAAAGTATATTTCTGCTTGCTGTCTCACAGACTTGTGCAGGTGCCAGGGGCAGCACTCAGGTCACCACGGCCCTGCTGGCTGCAGGAAGAGGAGCCAAGCAGACGCGTGCCATGTGCCCATACCCAGCAGAGCTTCCTAATCCCAGCAGCAAGGCCACTTAAAAAAAAAAATTTGAAAGATGATATTTCATAGCCCCAAGGCTTAGGCATTGTTTCAAGTATTTTTTAGTGGAATTTGATACCGTTAAAGCATGAAGGAATAAAGATATTCCTGCCTGTTCCCAAGCCCACATATGCCTTAACTCACACCAGCACCAACAAGCTCACCCACCCAAACCTGCTAACTTGAGCACAGGAAAATAGTGCCCACAACCCTTCTGTTGTACAGGCATCTGATCCCACAACCTTTAATCCTCTCTGTCATCCCTGCAAGATCAGGCATTAACATCTCTGTAACCTCTTGTACTAATTAAGATAGCAGATCTATGGTATTCAGCTCCGCGCTGGCTTCAAAGCCGAGCACTGACAGGCTGCTGAAGTGTTTGTGCATTTCAGTGAGTGGCCCTCATAAGACAAATTATAATGAACACACCACAGGAAGCTTTAATAAAGAAACATGCAGTCATTAGAGAGGGGCTAGAAGTAAGAAAAAAAAATAATCCTGAGCTAGGCTTTGGAAATTAACAGGTGGGAAGCAGCCCCTGTTTCTAAGCACCTTGTAGGCACTCTGAAATCTGGACACCCTGTCCAGGCTCTGTCCTTTCTACAAAAGAACATTTAAACAGTCCCAGACCATTTGCTTCTCCAAAGCATGCCTCATATTACAAATGACCTTAAAGGCAGCAATAGCTTCCAGTAGATTCCCAAAAGAGAAGCCAAAGCAGGGAAAAAGGAGCTATAAAAGACATTTCCTATGTAAATACCACTAAAACTCTTCACAAGCAACATCAGAGATAGAGGATACAACTGGCACAAGAAGAAACATTTGCAAAGAAGGCCGAGAAACAATAACAAAAAAAAAGCTGTAAGTGGCAGGAACTAGAGTAACTCAGGGTCTCACTGAATGAAGAGAAACCTATTTGCTTGGCAGTTTCTTTGGTTACATAAATTGAGTTTGGTAAACAAGCTCCTGTCTCATAGCTCCAAGACCAAACACAAAAGGAAAGAGATACCAACTTCATCCCTTCTGCAGCTTTAAATAGAAGAATTAATAAACATTAAAAATATTACGATGCACAGAAAAAGCAATTCTCTCTTCCTTTGATTACCCCCTCCAACAAGAAGGTTCGAGAAAATTTCTTCCAGACTTTTCTAACCACCTATTGTAGAATAAAAAAAAAATAAAAATCCAGAGATACAATAATAATAATAAATAAAATAAAACAACCACAAAAAAAAAAAAAAAAAAAAAGAGAGAGAGAGAGAAAACAAGAAAAGGGAAGAAAAAAAAATCAAACAAACCTCTTTTCAATATCCTGAACAACTTCTACTTTCCCCTGCTACCTTGACCACAGTCCTTGCTAAATAGAATTGGCTGCATGTGGCATTGGTGGAGCCTCATCATTTCAATGCCATTCACCTTTTTCCTTTGATTCTCCATCTCTTCCACCTGCTGGCTCAAGCCAGTGCCAGCCCCTCCCAGAAGACCTGATAGCAAACCAACTAATTTGGCCCTAGAAGTTCACATTTCTGTGCTTGCTTTCCCTGCTCTGACCTTGTCATGGAAGCAGAATCAAAATAAAGTATTTTGGGAATAATAATAATAAACATAAACATAACTGGAACACTGAGATGAATTTAAAATAGGAGCCCAGAAAACTTTCTCCCATCAAAAAGTGCCCCCAATGGAAGCCTTTGGGTACACCTGAACTCCCCAGGGGAGCCTTTACGCAGCCCCACATGCAACCGGACTCTGTCTTTGCTCTTTCCAAACGACCCTAAACGTTATAATAATAAACTATTCATTTAATTTCATTACTTTCCTAAACATCTCTACTGGAGTTCACTTCATGCTAGTATACTTTGCCAACTTAACTTTTTAAAAAACTTTTTATTGATATAGTGTTGCACAGACATTTACATTTCTTGGAGGAAGGGAAAGGCAGAGAGGAAAATTAAATTACTTTGCTTAGTGATCTTAATTATCTGAAATAATTACCTTCAGTCAATTCTCAAACAAGAACCCTCTGGAGAATGGCATATTTTAGTTTGGATAAAGGAAAAGGAATTGAGTCCAAAGGAATACATTTTGTAACTTATTTAGATACACCTAATTAACCATCTGACTGAGGAATCCAATCAAAGCTTCTCTATTACACTTAATTATTAAAAGCAATTTAGAGGGGAAAAACTAAATGAGGGGTCTAAAAGAGCTCTCTATGACTCAAAGGAAAACTTCAGCAAAGAACTGAATAAATGGGTGAAAGGAGGCCAGAAGTAAAGTGTTTTTAATAAAAGTGATTCGATTCCTAGCCAGGCTCCGGCACAGAGGGATGGTAACCCTGGTGTTTTGTATACAGCTCTCCTCTGGAAGGAGCATAAAGATTTTTAGGCTTCCCAGAAATGGGCAGAGTTTCATTAAGACCTTTTCAGTGGAATGTGAGGGAAATGCTTTGTTCTTTAAGCAGAAGTGGTTGACAGCTTGCAGAGACATTGGCCAATTAAAAGAAATGATCCCCATTACATTAATTACAGAAAACTTTTAAAAGTCCTCCTAAGACTTTTTGCATGGATTTGTGCATCCAAATGTGTATCTTTCTGTCTGGAAAGGGAGAAAGCAAGTCTTGCTACTGAATGCTTATGACAAGATGTGAGAATTTGATTGGGGTTTGTTTTTTTAGCCAAAACACAATGGGGAGGTATTAGAGCCAAGAGCAAGGAAGCAGATGCCACGGCTGGCAGAGGTGCCTTCTTTCACCCCACCTGAGCAGAGCATTGTTCCCAGCAGTGTGCCTCCTTCCTCATCCTGCTTCAGCTTTCACAAATTCATAAGGCAGAGAACAATATTACTTTATTTTGATGTGAATATATTTAGCAGAAGTGTCTCATTCCAAACGTGTAATGGATTCCTGCTCAGTGGGATATCCTATTTTTGATGCAAAATTGTATTTCTTTGTCTGCATCCCTGCGTTACAACTGCTGCATCTTACCATCCGCCTCGCCTCGCTCCAGCTCTGCAGGGAGAGGCTTCATGTGCAGTAGCACATGGGGACTGGAAAGCAAGGAGGGTGCACAGGATGGTGCAGGCAGGACAACATTCCTGTCTCAATGCTGCTTGTACGTCTTTTGCCAGAGACACAGAGAAATAAGGCTGAAGAAAGCCTTACACGCTCATCCAGCCAGCCCTTACTGCGATGGAGTTAAATTCTGCTGTCTCCCCTTTTCTAAAGTGAATAACTCACTGCTCAGTGTGCCAGTTAATAGTTATAACAAACTCCAGGTCTCCTGGAAGCAGAGTAAAACATTGTTTTCATGCAGCGGAGATAGCTCCTCTACACAGGTAGCTTCTCTCCTGAATTTCCTTGTGCAGAGAAGTTCAGCCTCACTTGTCAGCCCCCAGGGCAATTCAAGGACTTAAAAGCAGGATACTGTTTAAGGGTTCAATCAAAGCAAACAAACTGCTAAAAATAAATTGGCATCCCATCTGTTACCAGGCAGGGAATTTAGTCTTAGCAGTCAGGGGACGGGATGAAAGGCTGCAATAAACACCTTGAAATGGATATCTGAGAAATTCTGTGGCCTCAGGTAAATGGTCTGATTTTCTCTTCCTTCCTTTGCACAAAGTTTTTTTTAATTTATTTTTCCTAAGGGAGAGAAGTGAGCACAGGCTTCTGTGGTACGAGGAGGGAAGCAAACAAATATTGAACATCCAAGTTTAATAATGTTCAAATGAACTACTGCTGATAAACATGGTTTCACTGGCAGAACATGAAGCACAGGGGGTGATCCAAACCTGGTGCCAGCCCAGCCTGCTCCCAGCGAGCAGCATGGCAGGCAGCGTGTTGAAATCCACTCCTGTAGCACCCAGGGAAACTATCTGATATTCTGGTCTCTCCTGACAGCAAAAGCCTTTCTGTGGCAAAGCCTTTTCTCAAGGAGTAAATATTTTGCAAATTAACAGCATGCTAATGGACTACAGTGTATGTTACTGCTGCAGCAAAACACGGGGTGCCTGTGAAAGTCTATTTACATGCGAGAGGCAGCAAGCAGCAGGAACCTGCCCAGTACTTCAGATAAAAGATAGCAGAGAGCTGTCTTCAGGCAAGCAGCACTGTTTCCTAAAGGTGTATCCAAAATATATTAAAAAGACAACAAAGAGAAATGGGCAGGAATTAAATGCCTGCTAACATGAAGCGTGCCACCCTGCCTGCAGTGCTGCCAAGTGCAGCTGCAGTGGGACCAGGCTGCTGCACCCGCAGCAGGAGCTGGGAGGGAGCCCAGGCCGAAGGAGGACCTTAAACAGGACTGGTGGCACAGCCAGACACAGCTTCACGAAGAGCAGACAAGTAATGTGTGATAAAAAATGAGAACTCACTGTTAAAACCCCAAAATGCTTCATTATCAGCAGAGGATGTAGAGGATTTGGTGGGCAATATCTGGGGAATGATGGAAGGCGTGGGCTGTGGTGCTGGTACAAACTGCACGTTGCATGACTGGTGCACCCCATTGCTGCTGACTTTGTTAGTTCAGTCGTAATAAATCAAAAACGAAGTGTTTTGTGCTGAACAAGCACAGATAATAAAGCCATGTTGAATCAAGAGTTTTCATACCAGTGAGATGCCTGGACATACCATTTTGGGATATGTCTGCAAATTCATTAGTAACTTCTGGAAACTCTCTTCCTTTTGGCAAGCATCCTTCTTGTCCCCCGAGGAGCTGGCATCCACAGCCTCCAGGATATTCACTGCTTGGCTCCTTGTGTTGGCAGTAATCTGCATTAATATATCATGTCTGATTGGATTTACTTTTTCTAAAACCAGAGGGGGAAGGCAATTGAAAATAAAAAGTAGAAAGTGCTTTTCTAAGAAGTGTCCAGTAAAGCGCAGACTTTGCTTTTCATCTGGTGAAAATATTATCATTTTAATTCAGGAAAACACCACGTGAGAATGAGTTCAAGTCCTCATTTGAATCTACAGAGGCTTTTCTTTTCCAGAAGGACCATATTTTCTTAGGGAGCTTGGTTTTTCCTGGCCACGAATCCCATGCCTCCTACCAGCTCCCATCATGTCTGGCCTTTTGCCTTTCTTTTTTTTGAAATCTGGTTTTACTCTGTATCTCAAGAGAAGGCAGCACTCACTGATCAAATCACACACATGCACACAAGAAATATAAAATTTGACATTGTAATTATGAAGTTCTCATATTAAATCTATGTTCATTTTGTGTAGAAGCAGCTCTTGAGCATTATCACCATTGCCTTTTGTTGATTTTTCACAAATAGCCTTATGAGAGCTGCTTAGAGTTTTTGTTGCCATTCAAGCTGTGAGATCATTATGAACCAGAAGATTGAAACTTTAAGATGCAAGACAACATGGATCATAGCCAAGAAACATATTTGGGAAGCAAAAATAAAGCAGATGTTTAAAGTCAGGAGAGCCTGACAGACAGAGATCTGTGGAGCTCAGAACATACAGGCTGGTTTAAGCAGAAAGAAAAAAAATAATAATAATAAAGTGCCAGCTCCTCCTGGTGCTGTCTGGGGCTGCTGGTGAGCACACTGACAGTGTTAAGCTGGGGGTGCATTCCCCACAGCATGCTGGTACGCTGCATGCAGCCCCGGGGGTCTGGAGCAGCCTCTCACGTGGAAATAGCACTTCCATTCTGGATTTTGCTCCTTCTAAGGCAGCCTCATGAGAAATTTGCCTTTTACACCTTACTCTTTGATAGGGATGCTCAGAATACCCTGCCTTCCTCTCTGCCATTGCCAACCTGAAAATGGACACCTGACAGCTATTTCTAGTTCCTGGCTATATAAATAATGAATGGTTTCATACCGGGAGGAATCAAATAGCACCAGATGACTCTGGTAATAAATCAGGAGAAAGGCAGGTGGTCTCTTGTCAGGCATCTCAAAACCAATGTGCAGCTTTATGAGGAGGGAGGTGGCTCCGGTACAAAACCCATCAATATAAATCTCAGATGCTTAGAAGTTACAGCACTTCTCAGTGCTGTTTTTAGGCATTGTCATAGTTCTGGTCTTATATGAAGAGTTCTCAGCAAAAGGCTAGTTTAAAGAACAAACCTGCACCCCCTAACTTGTGGTTTTTGTTCACCACTGTTCCCTAAGCCTAACTTCGTATCATTCACTGGGGGAACAGCTCCCCTCCGCCAGGCTGACTAAAGAAAAAATCTAGTAAATGAGTGATACTTAGGGTGGGAAATTAAAACTCGCCTTCTTCCCAGTGACCACTAGGTAGCTCTCTACTCACTTTTAGACCTTGACAACAAGCGACCATTTTCACCACGTGCAACTGCTAGCACCTCTCCCATCGATCTCCCCCCTGCAGCTGGTTTGACCCTTCCTTTACACAGTTCTTCTAGTCTTAGTCTCTGTTCTGCTTAGAAAAGTTTTACTTTCAGGAGAGAAAAAAAAAA